TCTTTTTTTTTTTTTTTTGTAATATTTATTTATTTATTTGAGAGGTAGAGTTACAGACTGAGAGAGAGGGAGAGAGAGAGAGAGAGAGAGAGAAACAGAGAGAGAGGTCTTTCATCTGCTGGTTCACTCCCCAAATGGTCACAACGGCTGGAGCTGCGCCAATCCAAAGCCAGGAGCTTCTTCCAGGTCTCCCACGTGGGTGCAGGGGCCCAAGTCCATGGGCCATCTTCTGCTGCTTTCCCAGGCCATAGCAGAGTACTAGATTGGAAGTGGAGCAGCTGGGTCTTGAACCGGCGCTCATATGGGATTCCAGCACTGCAGGCGGTGGCTTTACCTGCTACGCCACAGCACCGGCCCCCAGGAAGTGGAATTGTTAGATCATGTGGTCATCCTGTTCAATTTTTTATAAAGAGCCGTCGTGCTATTTGAACTTTCCTTCTTCTTTTTTTTTTAATCATTTAATCATTTATTTATTAATTTGAAAGGCAGAGTAACAGAGACAGAAAGAGAAATTTTCCATCCACAGGTTCACTCCCCAAATGCCCACAATAGCCAGGGCACAGCCAGGCGGAAGCCAGGAGACTGGAACTCCATCCGGGTCTCCCACATGGATGGCAGGGGTCCAGGCACTGGGGCCATCTTTCCACTGCCTCCCGAGGTGCATCAGCAGGGAGCTGGATTGGAAGCAGAGCAGGCAGAACTCAAAGCAGGCAGTGGCGTAACCACCGCTCCACAATGCTGGCCCTGGACTTCTTCTTCTTCTTCTTTTTTTAAATTCAAGAGGCAGAGAGCAAGACACAGGCCGAGAGCACCCGTCTGCTGATTCACTCCCCAAACACGGGCAACAGCGGGGACTGTGCTGGGGCCAATCCTGGGAGCCGGAACTCAGTGCGGGTCTCCCAGACAGCTGTCGGGGGCGCAGTTAACATGCTCTCTTCCAGGGTCTGCATTGGCAGGAAGCTGGAATCCAGAGCCAGAGCTTGGAATGCACCCAGCTACTCTGATATGAGACCCAACTATTGGACCAATTGCCTGCCCCCGGAGATGTCTTGAAGTACAGTTGGAACCCACTGTAGTGGCATGGTCCGAATTACAGCTAGAAGTCACAGCCCTGCCTCCCTGACTGGGGAGTCAAGGCTGTGAGATCAGTTCACACATTGTGTCCTGGGGTGACAGTGGGGACGAGCAAACTGGCAGTGCTGGTGGGCGCTTAGTTGTGAATACGGGAGGACCCAGACAGACTCTGGGGCGGAGCAGCTGGAGGGAAGCTGGCACTGTTCCCTGACAAGGCGGAGACCGGCGTTGTGCTGCAGTGGGCTAAGCCTCCGCCTGCACAGCCGGCATCCCATATGGGAGCTGGTTCAAGTCCCCGCGGCTCCACTTCTGATCCAGCTCTCTGCTAATGGCCTGGGAAAGAAGTGGAGGATGGCCCGGGTGCTCAGTCCCCTGCACCCATGTGGGAGACCCAGAAGAAACTCCTGGCTCCTGGCTTTGGATTGGCGCAGCTCCAGCCATTGTGACCATTTGGGGAGTGAACCAGTGGATGGAAGACCTCTCTCTCTCTCTCTCTGCCTCTCTCTGCCTGTAATGCTGCCTCTCAAATAAAGAAATGAAATCTTTAAAGAAAAAATACATAAAGATGTGGTGACGGAGGGTGGAGATCTGGGGTGGAAATCCTGGGTTCTGTTTGAGCCTACATCAGGTGGGTGATTCTGTTAGTCCAAGCAAGACCAGGAGCAGAGACCTGGAAGCCGTCAGACCTCAAACCGCGGGCTCTGCATCGGGTTCACAGTGGTGTCGTAGACCTAGGTGATGACGAAGGAAGCTGTGTGGGGCTGTTGAAACAAAAAGCCTGCCATGGGGGGCGTCATTGTGTGGGTGGGATCATCCGGGGCTCTGTGCTCAGCTCCGGATGGCACATCCAGGGAGCCCAGGAGCGGATGTTTACACTCCCCTCGTAGGGCCTGAGGCCGGGCTGCGGGGTGCAGCTGGGCCACCTGGACCTGGAAGACACTGGAAGGAAGGTGTGGGAGGAGGCCGTGTCGCGCCCCGCCCCCTCCCCAGGGGGTTCGCAGCCCAGTGCTTCAGTCTCTCACCACAGAACCCACTTCCTATCATGTTCTGTCCCAGGGTTATCTCTGCTGCCATGAACTTCCTGTGAGCCCAGCGAAGCGAGTTCTCAGGGCAAGCGCCTGCTTGGGTCCCTCCCTCCTCCCGGACAGAGCCAGCGCTCGGGGCTGGAGCTGGGCGGGCCTCTGAGCTCCTTTGCGGGCAGGATGCTGAGGCTGTCCGTGCCCAGGGCAGGCAGGCGCCGGGCAGTGCGTCAGCTGATGCCTGCTAGGAGCCCACTGGGCTGCAGTTGCCCTAAGAAGCTGATGTGGACTCACGCAGTCCCAACACCCAGAGACAAAAGGCTTGATTCCTGGAGTAAGTGGGCCACAGGCCCTCGCTCAGATGCCTGCCTGAGAACCCAGGCACAGGTCGGCACTTTGGAAGCACTCCTCTGTCCAGAAAAATTACAGAACTAGAGTTCCAAGTTCAAGAGTATTTCCTCTGCTGAGAGCACCATCCTCCCAGACAGGGAGAAAAGGAATGGCTCAAGCAAGCCCCTTTCTCTCTCTCTCCTCCCAGGGTCAGTCTCTCTCTCTCTCTCTCTCTCTCTCTCTCTCTATATATATATGTATGTATATGTGTGTGTGTGTATATATATATATATATATATATTTGAAAGGCAAAGCAACAGAGAGATCTTCCATGTACTGGTTCACTCCCCAGATGCCCGCAAAAGCTGGGGCTGGGCCAGGCCAAAGCCAGGAACCCAAGTCTCAGTTGGGACCTCCCATGTGACTGACAGGGACCCATGTATTTGAGCCATCCTGTGCTGCCTTCTAGGATGCACACCTGCAGGAGGCTGAATCGGAAGGGACAGAGGGGCCGGCACTGTGGTGTAGTGGGTAAAGCCCTGGCCTATGGCACCAGCACCCCATAGGGGTGCCGGTTCAAGTCCTAGCTGCTCCACTTCTGATCCAGCTCCTTGTTAATGCACCTGGGAAAGCAGCAGAAGATGGTCCAAGTGCTGGGGACCCTGCACCCATGTGGGAGGCCTGGAAGAAGCTTCTGGCTCCTGGCTTCAGATCCACCCAACTCCAGACACTGCAGCCATTTGGGGAATCAACCAGTGGATAGAAGACCGCTCTCTCTCTCTCTCCCTCTCTCTCTCTCTCTCTCTCTCTGCCTCTCTGTCATTCTGCAGGTGCTCAAAGTGTTTGAAAATAATATCACCACAATAGGTGTGTGTGCACATATGCGTGCACAAGGGTGTCCATGCGTGCGTGTGTGCACATTGAGTGTGTGTACATGAGATCAATGGCAACCAGGAAATTGAGTTCCGGACCCCCAGGCTGTCAAACACCACCTCTAGAGCAAGGCCCAAGCCCAGGGCTGACCCCACAGGCCTCTGCAGCTGCAGCCACCCTGTTCTGCAGCGTTGAGAAAGGCCCTGAGGCTTGGCGTGTTAAGGAGGCAGAAAAGCCAACATGGCCAGACGGAAGTGTCAGAAAAGCCCCGCAGAGGGCGCTGGAGATTTCAGCAGACACCCTCCCTTCAGGAAGCTTTCCCTGGGGGCTGGCGTCACAGCACAGCTGATTCGGCTGTCACTTTTCAGGCGCAGCATCTGCCTCGCATCCCACGCCACAGTACCAGGGTTTCAACACCTGGCTGCTGGCTCAACTCCTATCGGGATGCTGGTTTGAGTCCCAGCTACTCTGTTTCTCATCCAGCTTCCTGCTAATGCACCTGGGAAGGCAGCAGAAGATGGCCGAGTGCTGGGGCCCCTGCACCCATGTGGGAGCCCTGGATGGAGTTCCTGACTCTGACTGCAGCCTGGACCAGACCTGGCTATTGTAGGAATTTGGGGGGTGTACCAGCTGATGTAAGATCTCTCTCTCTCTCTCTCTCTCTCTCTCTCTCTCTCTCTGTTTCCCTGCCTTTCAAATAAATAAATAAATTTTTGAAAAAAATTGAGAGGCAGAGTTACAGACAGAGAGAGGGAGAGACAGAGTTGGGCCTCTCCAGAGCTGCTTGGCACATTTGCATTTTATTTCTTTTTTTTTAAGATTTATTTATTTTATTTGAAAGTCAGAGTTCACTCCCTAATTGGCCTCAGGAGCCAGGAGCTTCTGCCGGGTCTCCCACGTGGATGCAGGGGCCCAAGGACTTGGGCCATCTTCCACTGCTTTCCCAGGCCATAGCAGAGAGCTGGATCGGAAGTGGAGCAGCTGGGACTCAAACCAGCACCCATATGGGATGCCGGCACTGCAGACGGCAGCTTTACCCACTATGCCACAGTACCGGCCCCAGCATTTGCTTTTTCTTAAAGATCTCCTATGCAGAGGGGTAATGGGGAGGGTTAGAGTTACACGCCCTGCTGCTGATTCCGCGAGCAAGAAATCAACACTTGGGGGCGCTGTGCCTGTTGGACTCACTCTGAGGAACCTGGCAGCCCCACCTGTGAGGAGGGGCATCCGAGAGAGGCGTGGGGAGCCTTTGTCAGAGTTGTGTACTGGAGTCAAGACCAAAGAAGCAGTTCTGGGGTGCTGTCTGGGACTTCAGGAGCCAAGCTGGCGGCCCCTGTCCCCCGCCTCCCCCACCCCACACCCTAGGCTGCTGCTGTGGAATGCTTTGGGCGGTGGAAGTGCAAGGGTTACGATTCAGGCTGCGGGGGGACTAGGATGCTTGCCTCCCAAACTGGGGAGCCTGGGTCCTGACCACAGCTTCCTGCTAAGAGGCAGGAAGTGGGGACTGAAGTGACAGGGAGACCTAGGTGAAGTTCCCCCAGCTGCTGGCTCTGGCTCCGGCCCATCCCCAGCCATTGCAGGCACTTGGAGAGGGATCCAGAAGAAGTCAGACCTGGAAGCCTAGGGCCACCTGGACTGGGTGCCCACCAGGCGTCAGGTTTGCAAGCAAATGGCCGTGGCCGACGAGGGCCCCTGTGCTTGCAGAGTACCTGAAGGAGAAGCTGGAGCAGTACGTGAAGCAGCTGCAGGTGGTGGCGGGTGGTGCGGCAGGAGGAGCGCAAGGGGCTGATCACCGCCCGGCTGCTGGGGGCCAGCGTGGCGCAGGCGGAGGTGCTCACCTTCCTGGATGCCCACTGTGAGTAAGAGAGCGGCTGGTATGTGTGCGTGCGTGCGTGCGTGCGGGGAGGCCCCATCCCGTTCTCTTAGCGGCACAGAAGGAGGCTGGGGGTCCACTCCAGCTGCTTCTACCTTTTTTTTTTTTTCCCTCCTGATCCCAGGGCTCAGGAGGCACACCTGAGCCCAAGCAGACCCTCATCCCTTTTAATTCCATCTTTTCCTGGAGTCGCCCTCGTGTTCGCAGAAGTTCAAGGGGAAGTTCCCCGGGCAAGCGAGAGGAATTCTTATTCTGCAGCTGGGGCTGAAGCTTGGGATGCAAATACCCGCCTTCCCCCCTACCCAGGGTGGGGGAAATGCCTCCTTCTGCCCCTCTCCCTGCTGGGGTTCCTCCCTGGGCGTGGGGGGGCTTTGTGGGCGGGGTCCTGATTGCTGCCTTACCTGTCTCTCCCCACGCCCCCCGCAGGCGAGTGCTTCACCGGCTGGCTGGAACCTCTCTTGGCCAGGATCGCCGAGGACGAGACGGTCGTGGTGAGCCCTGACATCGTCACCATAGACCTGAACACTTTTGAATTCTCCAAACCTGTGCAAAGGGGCAGAGTCCACAGCCGGGGCAACTTCGACTGGAGCCTGACCTTCGGCTGGGAGGCTGTTCCCGCACACGAGAACCGGAGGCGCAAGGATGAGACGTACCCCATCAAGTAAGGACCACCCCTTGCCTGGCTCCAGGGCCACCCGCTTCCGGGGACCTGTGCCGTCTTGCATCAGCGTTTGTCAGGTGCTCTCTCAAGCACTTGACCTGTCTGTCTTAACTTCTCTCTCCGATGGAGGTAGGCACCACGATCAGCCCATTTTACAGGTGGGAACACTGAGGGCTATAGTGATAAACAGCTGACTTTGGGCCATGTGGCATGGATGCCCACGCTGGGCTGCCCCAAAGCCCCTTTCCCACCCTCCAGCCTAGTGGTTTGCTCTCATCAGTCAGTTACTGCATGCCCAATGCTGGACAGCCAGCTCTACCCCCGTTGTCCCATGTGGTCCCTCCCTTGCATGTGGAATGACAGGGCTGGGGCCTGATCTGGGGGTGGGAGACGCTGGCTGGGGGCCACTGTTGAATAGCCATGGTCATCAGAGGCAGCAGCCTGGGCTGCTAAGGTCAGTTACCCTGAACTTTCCTTTTTTAAAAATATTATACATATATCTGCTTTTTTAAAAAAAAAAAAAGAGGATTTATTTATTTATTTATTTGAAAGGCAGAGTGGGAGAGAGAGAAAGAGAGGCCGGCGCCGCAGCTCAATAGGCTAATCCTCCGCCTAGCGGCGCCGGCACACTGGGTTCTAGTCCCGGTTGGGGCGCCGGATTCTGTCCCGGTTGCCCCTCTTCCAGGCCAGCTCTCTGCTGTGGCCAGGGAGTGCAGTGGAGGATGGCCCAAGTGCTTGGGCCCTGCACCCCATGGGAGACCAGGAGAAGCACCTGGCTCCTGGCTCCTGCCATCGGATCAGCGCGGTGCGCTGGCCGCAGCGCGCCGGCCGCGGCGGGGTGAACCAACGGCAAAGGAAGACCTTTCTCTCTGTCTCTCTCTCACTGTCCACTCTGCCTGTCAAAAAAAAAAAGAAGAGAGAGAGAGATCCTCCATCTGCTGGTTCACTCCCCAATGGTCACAACAGCCAGAGCTGTGCCAATCTGAAGCCAGAAGCCAGGAGCACTCCCATAGGGGTTCAGGAGCCCAAGGACTTGGGCTGTCTTCCAGTGCTTCCCAGGGCATTAGCAGAGAGCTGGATCGGAAGTGGAGCAGCCAGGGACTCAAACCAGTGCCCATATGTGATGCCGGCACTGCAGGCGGCAGCTTTACCTGCTTTGCCATAGTGCCAGCCCCAGAACTTTTCTAAGATTTTTTTTTAATATGAAAGGCAGAATGACAGAGATGGAGACAGCAATCTTTTTTTGTTGTTGTTTGTTGTAAGATTTAGTTCTTTATTTGAAAGGAAGAGATAGAGAGAGATCTTAAGGAAGAGAGAGAGAGGTCTTCCTTCCGCTGGTTCACTCCCCAAGTGGCTACAATGGCTGAGGCTGGGCCAGGCCAAAGCCAGGAGCCAGGAGCTTCTTCTGGGAGACAGCAATCTTCCATTGGCTGGTTCACTCCCCAAATGGCTGCTTTAGCAGGGAGCGGGATTGGAAGCTGGGTAGCTGGCTTTGTTTTTCTGAAAGGCAGTTCCAGGGTGGGGCAGTGAGCCAGCACTGTGATATGGGATGCAAGAGTTGCAAACAGCGGCTTCACCCGCTGAGCCACAACGCCGGCCTCCCTGAACTTTTCCGTAAATTGCCAGGTAGCAAAATATTTTAGGCTCTGCTGGCTACATAAAGCCTGTTGCATAGTCTTCTTTTGGACTCTTAATTTTTTAATTGGCAATAAAAATCCTACATATTTATGAGACGCTATGTGATGTTGTGATATGTGTATGCATTGTATAATGTTCAATTCAGGGTTAACATGAGGGTAAAATATATCAATTAAAAAAAATTTACAAGTCTTTTTTTTTTTTTTTTTTTTTTTTTTTGGACAGGCAGAGAGGACAGAGAGAGAGACAGAGAGAAAGGTCTTCCTTTTCTGTTGGTTCACCCTCCAATGGCCGCTGTGGCCGGCACACCACGCTGATCCGAAGTCCGGAGCCAGGTGCTTCTGCTGGTCTCCCATGCGGGTGCAGGGCCCAAGCACTTGGGCCATCCTCCACTGCACTCCCAGGCCACAGCAGAGAGCTGGCCTGGAAGAGGGGCCGCCGGGACAGAATCCGGGCCCCAACCAGGACTAGAACCGGGGTGCTGGTGCCGCAGGCGGAGGATTAGCATATTGAGCCGTGGAGCCAGCACAATTCTTTCAAACATGTAAAAACTGGAGTGGCTGGTATTGGGGCCTAGCGGTTAAAGCTCGCCTGTAGTGCCAGCATCCCATGTGGGCACCAGTTCCAGTCCCCAGATGCTCCACTTCCATCCAGCTCCTTGCTAAGCACTTGGGAAAGCAGTAGAAGATGGCCCAAGCCTTGGGCCCTTGCACCTGTGTGGGAGACCCAGAAGAAGCTCCTGGCTCCTGGCTTTGGCCTGGCCTGGCCCAGCACTAGTGGTCATGGCCATCTGAGGAGTGAAACAGCAGATGGAAAGTCTTTCTTTCTTTCTTTCTCACCTCTGCCTCTGCTTCTCTGTAACTCTGCCTTTCAAATAAATAATTAAATCTTTTCAAAATAAGTTTAAAAATATAAAAACCGGTTTTGTGGCACAGCAGGTTAAGCTGCCACCTATGACACCTGCATCCCATATGGGCACCGGTTTGTGTCCAGCTGCTCCACTTCCAATCCAGCTCCCCGCTAATGCGCCTGGGAAGCAGCAGGAGATGGCTCAAGTGCTTGGGCCCCTGCACAGGTGGGAGAACCGATGGAGTTCCCGATTCCTGCCTTGGGCTTGACTCAGCCCTGTCTGTTGCAGCCTTTCAGGGAGTGAACCAGCAGATGGAAGATCTCTCTCTCTGCTCCATGTTATAATTGCCTTTCAAATAAATAAGTAAAATAAATCTCTAATATAAATATGTATATAGAGAGTGGGTACTGGGGTGCAGCAGTTAAGATGTAGCTTGGGAGACCTGTGTCCTATATCAGTGCCTGGTGTTCAAGTCCAGGCTCTGCTCCCAAGTCCACCTCTGTCACCAACGTGTCCCCTGAGAGGCAACAGTGAGGGCTTAAGTGCTTGGGTCCCTGCCGCCTACCTTGTGGGAGACCTGAATTGAGTTCTGGGCTGCTGGCTTCAGCTAGGCCAGCCCCAGCGTTGCAGGCATGGGGGAAGATGAACAAGCAGATAGGAGTTCTCGCTGTGTCCTTGTGTCTGTCTGTCTGTCTGTCTGGTGGTCTGTCTCTGCCTCTCAAAATAAATCAAGTTTTCAAAAAAATTCTACAGTAATAACTAAAAACGTAAAACCCCTCCTTTGATCTCGAGCCTCATAAAAAGAGGAAGTTTACCAGGTTTTGCCCTCAAGCCCGAGGGTCCGCCTCCGAAGCAGGGTGGGCAGTGGGTGGGAATCCCCTGCTCAATGCCCAGGGCTCAGCAACCCCCTACCCCACACCTCGCCCATCCCTCTGCAGGCTGCTTGAATTTAACGGCTGTTTCAAGAACTGAGATGGGAGTGGCCTTTGGGTAGTTTGTGCCATGAATTCTGGACACCGCCACGCATGTAAGGGAGAGCTTGACTGTACATCTGGGGTAGAGGACAGCAGAGGCTGGGGACATGGTGGCCAGAGATGCGAGGTCAAGTTTGAAAGGGGGAGAGGGCTGGAGTTCCTTCCCCCAACCAGCCCTCCCAGAATCCTACCAAGTGCCACCCCAAGTCTCAGTCCGGAGGGCTCAGGTGGGTGCCCCAGGCAGGATGCCACGGCTCCTGGACACTCACCTGCTCTGTCTCCATTCGCAGGAGAGGGAGAAAAGACAGAGCAGGTGAAAGAGAAGAAATTCGATCTCCCCAGTGCCCCTCCATTCACTCACAGATGCCTTTTGTTTGGTGTGCACAGAGGTCCCGCCCACCCCACCCCCACCCCCGGACACCAGGGGCCAGGCACACTGTGGCACAGTCAGAGATGGGGCACCTGGCTCTCACCCGGCGCTGACAACCCCGCCTCCACTGTAAGACAAAGCTCCAGTGTCTGAGCCATGAATTTGCTCTCTGGTTCCAGTGGCCGCTAGCATGTGTGGCCAGCCCGAGGCACTGCACATCATGCCCCCAGAGGGACTGTGTACCCCTCTACCCTCCCATCCTGCACTCTCAGAGTTGATGGGGCAGTGAAGGGGAGCAGGGGATGAACCTGGGGATCCAGGAATGAGGGCAAGGAATTCGGGGTGTTTTCTAGTGATTGTCTGTCATGGATCTAAAGCATGCTTTCCTTGTTGTTGTTGTTGCTGTGTTGTTTTTTAATATTTATTTGAAGTCAGAGTTACACAGAGAGAGAGAGACAGAGAGAGAGAGAGAGAGAGAGAGAGAGAGAGAGGATCTTCCATCTGCTGGTTCACTCCCCAATTGGCCGCAATGGCTGGAGCTGCACCAATCCGAAGCCAGGAGCCAGGAGCTTCTTCCGGGTCTCCCACGTGGGTGCAGGGGCCCAAGCACCTAGGCCATCTTCTGCTGCTTTCCCAGGCCATAGCAGAGAGCTGGATCGAAAATGGAGCAACCAGGACTCGAACCGTCTCCCAAATGGGATGCCAGCTGCAAGCAGTGGCTTCACCTGCTATGCCACAGTGTAGGCCCCTCCTTGTTGGTTTTATCCTAAGCTAATTCTGTCCGGGACTTCTCAACCTGAGAAAGCAAGACACCAGGGCAGGCGGGCAAGTGCCTTGTGGTTAAGACACTCACCGTCCCGCATCAGAAGGCCTGGGTGGGTTCCCAGCTCCAGCCCCTGCCTGTGCAGAGCCTGGGAGACCAGCGTGGTGGCTCAAATAGTTGGGTACCTGCGGCCCTACTGCAGCCCAGATGGAGTTCTCAGCTCCTGGCTTCGGCCTGGCCCAGACCTGGCTGTTGTGGCATTTGGGGGAGTAAACCAGCAAATTGGAGATTCTCTCTCTCTCTCTCTCTCTCTCTCTTCTCTCCTCAATAAGTAAAAGGCAAGAGACAGGTCTGCTGGGAACTCTCTGCAGGAAGTCTGGTGGTGTCAGGGACTCACTGGAGTCCCAGACTGTCCCCAGTCTCTCTGGACTCTGTGTGGGCTGACTTGAGATCCTTGGAAGAGACCAAAACCAGGGACAGGAAGGCGGCTGGACAGGAGGGTTTCCAGCTAAAATTGCTTCCAGAACAGGCAGTTGGCAGCGCCGTGACGATGCCACTTGGGAATCTCCCAGGCAGGGGACCCAGATGCAGTGTTGCCAAGTTCCTGGCTTGGCCGGGCCCAGCCTTGGCTGCTCTGGGCATCTTGGGAGTGAACCAGCTTGTGAAAGATCTCTGCTGCCTCTGTACCTTTCAAAGAAACGGAATAAATCAAGGATTTGTTTAGAGAAATTTGCCCAGAAAGTGGCTGCAGGAACCACCTCCATGGTGACTGGGCCAGCCACAGGTAACCAAGGGCAGGCTCTTTGATGTGCTGCCCCTGGCTGAGCCCAAGCTGTGTGTGAGGTACCTGGCTAGGTGCTGGGGTGATGGAGAAGGTGTCAGTCTCTTTCTGCTTGGTTGTACCACATGAGGGCAGCAAAGCCCCATCCAATCCAAGCTGGCTTGGCCCAGGAACGGAAGCAACCGCCACCATTAATTCTCTTGCAGGAACTTCAAAAAGTTTTGTGGAAAGTGGAATTCAAAGATGTTTATTTTGCTGCCAGAATTGTTTTTGAATTCCCACACATCCTTTTTTTTTTTTTTTTCTGTCTTATGTATTTATTTGAGAGGCAAAGAAATACAGGCAGAGGGAGATCCCATTCAGTAGTTCGCTCCTCAAATGCCTGAAATGGCCAGGGCTGAAGCCAGAAGCCAGGAACTCCATCCGGGTCTCCTACATGGGCGGCAGGAAGTTCTTGAGCCATCACTGCTGCCCACCATGGTCTGCATTCAGAGGAAGCTGGAGTCAGGAGTCAGGAGCTGGAGCCTGGCATTGAAGCCAGGAACTCCCTGGTGAGCGGAGTCTGGGCATCTCAGCAGCTAGGCTAACTACCTGAACAAGCCTTTACATAGCACATTGTCCCGAACTTTTTGAACGGATTTCGTGGGCAATGGATTTCAACTTTTGCTGCACCAGAATAAACTTGCTTTTCACTTCGTTTTCCATGACCATTTTGTCCACTGGAGCACCCTCGCCCTCAGCCCCGCTGTGATGACCAAGCTGATAACCAAACCCCCTGCATGAGATGTTTCTGTCTATTTTATCTTGCACCGGGTCCATGCCGCCCCGCCTTTTCCGGAAACCAGAATCTTCTCCTAACCTCTCGGCACACCTTGTGGTCCCAGGAGCCCCCTCTTACACGTCCCCTTCCCACCCCTGCTCCAAGCAACCAAAGCTAAAGTTTCTCATTCAGGGAATATAAGACAGCAGGGTCGAGCTCCTGCCAAGATGGCGCAAAGGGCTGGGGACCCTGAAACAGCACGGGGCCAGCCCAGCGGAGACTGCTGGTTCATTCGTGCTTTGAATCCTGCCTGCTTTCATGAATGGACTGAGTTTCTGCCCTGCTCCAGGCTCTGTGTTGCCCCAGCATGAGTGCAGCTCGGGCTGTGTGTTCCACACGCAGGCGTGGTGGGTGGCGCTTGACATGTCCTGGATGAGGGGGGGTGACCATGTCCTTTCAGCTGGTCCTGCAGGGAGACCCCGTGGGCGGCGAGCGAGTCCGCAGAGGAGGGGCCCGCCCGTCCAGGAGCAGGGAAGGGACCAGGGAGCCAGGTCGGGTGTCCCCACAGGCACAAGATGCACACGGCTCTCCCTGTCTCTGCAGATCCCCGACGTTTGCTGGCGGCCTCTTCTCCATCTCCAAGTCCTACTTTGAACACATCGGTACCTATGATAATCAGATGGAGATCTGGGGAGGGGAGAACGTGGAAATGTCCTTCCGGGTGAGAGTGAAGAGGGCTTGGGGGGCCGCGTCATCCAGGGGAAGCTGAGGCGCTGTCACGCAGTGGCAGCCTTGGGGATGTCTCCTCTGGAACTTGAACTCGAGAGGTGGCCGTTTCCCACCACAGCTCCCTCTTCCTCTGCTCCCCTCTCTGTCCGTGGCAATCTGATTGGACAACTCGCAACAAATCACTGGGCGGAGTAATTGTCAGTGTTACCGGAAGTGACAGAAAGCCACTATGAGGCCCTCCTCCCAGGTTAGAGGCCACCGCACCCACGGGAGTCACAAACTCCTGTGACTGTGAGAGGAGACAGTGGTCGCCAGGACCCTGAGGGACTCTGGGAGTTATGCAGATTAGGAGGCGGTCCAGAGGAGAGCCTGGATCTCCATGAATCCTGGGCCAGTAGAATCGTGATCGTAAGATCCCTTGCAAAACCACCTGTGCCCATATCCGGCATGGGTGGGTACTCGGCACGTGGCTACTTCTGCCATGGCGGCCACGCTAATGTGGGGAGCAACAGGCTCCCAGCCGAAGACTCGAGAGAGGGCCCCTGGCTCCCAGGAAGCCGGCGTGCCAAGGGCGCCAGGTCCCTGTGCCACAGGCCACCTGGTAGTTGAGTGGCCTTGCTGCTCTCCCTTGAGCTTCCAGGCCACCTGGCTGAGTGCTGGCCTAGAGGCTGAGCGATCAGGGCTCCAGTCGGGGACAGGCACGAACAGGCCCGACTGTCTTTTCTCTCAGGTGGGCCCTTGTAAGCCGCAGACCCTGCCAATGTCCTCTGCCTAGATCTGGGGAGTCTGGGGTGTCTCAGCCTGGCCTGGAAGAAACCCGATCCACACTGTTCTCCAGCCTCTGCCTGGGTCCCTCGGACTTAGGGTCTGGCGCCTGGGGGAGAGCGTCTCCCGGCCCCCCCTCCTGAAGGCGCCGTCCTGTTCCCTCCGTGTCAGGTGTGGCAGTGTGGAGGCCAGCTGAGATCATCCCCTGCTCCGTGGTGGGCCACGTGTTCCGCACAAGAGCCCCACACCTTCCCAAGGGCACCAACGTCATTGCCCGCAACCAGGTGCGCCTGGCTGAGGTCTGGATGGACAACTACAAGAAGATTTTCTACAGGAGAAATCTACAGGCAGCCAAGATGGCCCAAGAGGTGAGAGGAAGGCAGGTGTCTGGGGTGAGGAGGAGTGCAGGGCCCCCGGGACCCCCATCTCTGCCTCGCAGTGTCCCCCTTTGTGAGGTTCTGTGAATCAGAGCACCAAGATCTTACAGGGGGAAGGGACCTTGCTGTCCCTACCTAGAAGGGGCTCAGAATTGGGGACCAGGAGAGCACTGATTAGGGAGTCTCAGCAGATGAGGGAGTGGGCGGATGCTGTGTGGGGTCCCTGAGCAGGCCAGGGGTTTGGGTGTGACCCCTGAGCCAGTGGCACCACAGGTCCTACGCAGGAGAGGAAGCAACCCCAGGAGCTCTGTGCTGTCTGGGCGATGTCAGCCCACGCGGGAGGTCAGGGTGGTGGGGAGGGGTGACACTGCCCCTGGGGGCCCTGCTTGCCTGGCAGAAATCCTTTGGGGACATCTCGGAACGGCTGCAGCTCAGGGAGCAACTGCACTGTCACAACTTCTCCTGGTTCCTGCACAACGTCTACCCAGAGATGTTTGTTCCCGACCTGAACCCCACCTTCTATGGAGCCGTGAGTCTGCAGAGCAGCATGCCCGCCCGTCACCCCGGCAGCCCTGGGGAAGTCCAAGGGCACGCACCCCCGCAGCTGGGCCACCAGAGACTGTCTTCCCCGCCCCCTCCTTGGCCCAGAGATAGACAGCCAAAGACCTCCTGTGGGCAGCAAACAGCCCATCACAGTGGTTTTCAAACACTGGGCACTGGGGGTCCTGGAGCTTCTGACTCAGGACTGGGGTGGGGCCCAATACTCTGGTCTAGCAGGTGCACTGCTGGTCTGGGATGGCCCTTTTGAGAACCACGCCTTGTAGGAGAGCTGGGGGCTTTTCCAGGCACCTGGAGGCTGCTCATCCTTCCCTGTGGTTGGGAAGAGACAGGGCGTGTCCAGCTTGTCTTCCCCCTGGGGGGCTCTGCACCCCACTTGCTGTC